AGGCATTCTGGGAAACTAACTGCTCTCTCTTTTTCTCGGCTAGCTCGGCTAAGCTCGCGAAGCTTTGCTGCCAGGGCTTCCTTGTGTTTTTTGCCGCGTTCATGGAATTCGATGGAGGCACGATTATCTCCAAACCATACCTGGAATTGTTAGTGTATTCATATATTCATAAATTATTTCAATGTTCAATGATGGTTTCCCTCTACTTCAGAATAACTGACCATCAAAATGTTACTGCCACAGGTAGGAAAGAAAAACTATGCACTACGAATGGAAACTGTGCAAACTTCATGGGTGAATATGACGTACTTATTCCAGTCCTCAAGACTTCACTATGAACCGACTCAATATATCAAACAAATAAATAATAAAATAGACCAAAAAATAAACAAAGCTTTCCGTCGATCAATCCCTGGAAAAACATTCACATTCAACCTCATCAAGCATCGTTTGAGATGAAAGAATGCATAGCCTTTACGATAACTCGCAGTGACTTATCGACGGATGAACCCAGTGCTGCTACTACCCCAGACAAGTCCGGTACCCATTCGCATGACTATGGAGGATAGGAGTCTCGGTGAGCCGTAGGCGGGATTGAACCATCAACTAGGCTTGGGTCGCAAGGCACCCACTGTGCACCACGGCCCATTAAGACATTAGTACTGTCATTGGACGGGCAAATCTTCTCATTCATTCATTGAAGCAACGAAACAATAAGAACGCTAGTAAACAATAATGATTCTGGATAAATCTGGATCTGATGGTTAGGATATCTTTTAAAAATGGCAGAGAAGAAGTTTCCTCGAACGTCACCGACAGAGAACACAGCGTATCGCTTCACTCAGCATACGAAAAAAACATAGAAAAAAGATATTAAAATAGAAAAGATATGACGAACAAGCATAAAAAAGAGATCTAGAAACGTTGAGTGGCATCCAAATCTTGAAATCTCGGGTGGAATTACCAGCGTCTCGCCGTTTTCCGATAGCGAGCTAACCACCACACTACAGGGGTTCCTACTCTGATATCACTCTTTCCGCGATACAAGAGTAACACGTCCCCACGAAAGGTGAGAGATGGGGTCAGCTCCTGCAGGAATTTCAAATATTTCATACCACTCAACATTTCTCAGTATTTAGTTATACATCGTAGAAATGTTATTGAAGCGGTGAACATCAATTTCTGTGAATCACAGAGAGAAAAACCATAATTTTTCGACACCTTCTTCCACACTTCGATCGCTCTCTGATCACAATTAAACACCACTGCTTCCATTCAATTTCACTAGCCTACGCATTTCGACACTTATTGCAATAATATTCGATTTGGGATAGCTGCTCTAACAGCGAAATTAGCGACCACTGATAGTAACCTTACAGTAGAAAATAAATTTGTGAGCACAGGAACAACTTCATCCACTACTGAAACCATATATGGTCTAAAGAACCCTTCTAACAAAAAAACAGAAAAACTTCTGAAAACACTTCGATTTTTCATGAGGTCTGTTATGACACCTATAGAGTGCTAGACTCGTTTTCCGGCTTTCCAGCCTCATCAGTGTCACGTGACTTTTCATCTGGGCTAATACAATGTAGGGGATGACCTCCATATATACAGGGGTCGACGACGAAGATGTTACACTCCGCGCGTGTAAAGTGCAAGTTCACCCCACACTGCAGAGATAATGTATCACTACATGACCCGTGAGAAGATCACCCAACATTGCAGTGATTAACAGTCAATTCATGGCTGGTAAATTTGATAATACCTTCATATTCGAGTTTTTCGACTGGAAAGACTGAAAAGCCGAAAGATGTGTCTAGCACTTTATAAGTGCCATAACAGACATCACGAACGGCTCAAAATATGTTATCAGATTATACTGTTTCAAACGAGGTCCTGAAAGACATTCGAATATGAATAGAAATTCGGTTTGAGCAAACGATTAGGCCATTTACCAACCAAAGAGCTATTATTTCCAAGAAAATGTTACTGTACAGAAAAAAATATCTTCGTTGAATCGTTCCATGACATACATTTAAATGGAACATTTTCTAAAGGTCAAAAAACTCTTTCATTATCCATCCGCACAGTTTTTTTCTCCACTGCGCAGATCCTACTGGTTCTAGCATTCAAACTTTTTTTTTTCGTTTGCTTCCTGAACGGCGTAGGATAGTGGCTGAGCGTAACTCCTTGCAATCTTGGAAATAGCGTCGCTGTGAAGTTTCACAGTGCGTTCGTTTTTGACTGCCGAAGAGTGTTGGGCGGTGGCGATCCGCCTCACGCGCCCAGTCTCACAAGCACTCGGCCAAGGCGCCTCAAAAGGTTAAAAAGCATTCCAAATTATCCACGTTTGCAGGTATGACATGACTATGGATGATCACGATGGAAAACTATGCACTCAGTAAAGCTGACTAATATGTGAGACTCTCGATGCCGGGCGATAATAATCAGCGCTTCACTCTTACCATGGGGGTTTCCTATCCCACACCACTGAGGCCACCGATCTGTTACTGACCTATAATCTGAAAAATTCTTATACTTTCACTATTTAATTGTGGTGGGAAACATGCATAAGACAGAAAGGATTAAATAAGTCAATGGTTATATACAGGATAAACAAGGCAAAGAGCAAGGTAAACATTAGGACAAACAAAAACAAACAACTATGATCAGAATAAACAAAATTCAGCGGAATAAACATAAGAACCAAAACAAAAAAAAACAGGTGAGATTGGATCTACCTCTTCTACATCTTAACACCAAAACAGGGGAACGCATTGAATGTATTACTGTATTATTTCAATCTTATCATTGTTTGAAATAACTTTTTTTTTGATGCCACGCATGTCAGTGGTCTATTAAAGAGAGGGCTGATTATAGAGCCGATACACGTGTTTCGATCTTGCGATCTCGTCAGTAGGGCAGTTACCCCTTTTCGTCTTTTCCAATCCTGTGTGGGTGCTCCAGTCCCACGCTAAGAGTTAGCGACCGACGAGCGTTTACACTCTATGTCCCGTGAATTTTCACCGAACACAGAGTGTGTACACTCGATTGCTCTTGGCTGGTATATTCAATATATCATATCTTTCGTTTCGAGTGTTTTCTCAAGACCACTGCTCAAATTTCAATATACCTGATAATCATTTTTGAGCCACGCATGCCAGTGGTCTATCAAAGAGAGCTAACTTATAGAGCCTGATACACGTGTTTCTGTGTGAAGATTGGAGCACCCACACAGATTGGCAGAAGACGAGAAAGGGTAACTGCCTGACTGACGAGATCGCAAGATCGAAACACGTGTATCGGGCTCTATAAGTCAGCCCTCTTTTTAGATAGACCACTGACATGCGTGGCCATCAAAAAATCATTACCAGGCATATTGAAATTTGAGCTGTGGTCTTGAGAAAACACTCGAATCGAAAAACTCATTATTGTTGTTACAGCAACGTATCCAATGCGCTCCCACGCTGGGGTTAGAGATGCAGAGGAGGTGGGTCCTCGGTCTACAAAAGGGTCATATATGCTACGGAGCAACATGAGAAATGGCAAATCATCTTTGGATAAATAAATATGAGAGATACTGGCAATTCCACCATACCTTACAGATTTCGCAGAACTTTCGCCCCTGAGATTTCCAAACATCCGCCATATCGGGTTATGAACGGCTTAGACGCTAAATTAGTTGTAAAGACATTAGGAATTTCGGCAATTGCTACAAAACAAATACCAACAAAAACCGAACATAAATCAAAAATACGCTGTCAATGACGCCGAATAGACAAACGTATGGCAAAGAAAGGCTTTGGATGCTGTTTGCCTGAGGCGACTGAATGCATATCAGTTCTTTACAATGACTCAGGGTAGCCTACCTATTCATAAACCTAGAATTTTTTCTCAGACACTCTGCCGCAAAGTCAAAGAGCTCTGAGGGATGGAAGGCTTAGTGAGCCTCGGGCGCGGAAATGAACTATCGACTACGATCATGTGTGCCGCTGAGCACCTCTAACCACTGCGTCACAGCGCTCCTAGTAGCAATGGATCACAATCAAGTCTTTTATAAAAGGATAAAACGATAAACTCTTAATGTTGATCAATCCCTGGAGGACGCGTCACGCATTCGTCTTCAATTTTTAACTTCATTTGAGGTGGCTGTACGCATATCTGGCCTTTACAATGACTCGCGATGGCCTCCCGCTGAACCGAGTCAGTGCTGCTTATTCTCCCAGATAAATCTGAGACCAGTCTGGTACCAATTTACCGATCCCGGAGGGATGGGTAGCTTGGTGAGCCATGAGCGCGTCATCGAACCATTGACCTCGTGGGCGACGCAGAGCACCTCTAACCACTGCGCCACATGCACTCAAGAGAAACAAGATAAAGCGGAAATAAGAAATAAAAGTAAAAATAGGAAAAAAAAACATGAAAGCAGAGCGACATTCGGGCAATTCAGACAAAAATAATTACGTCAATGGGATATTGGTCGTATTTGCAGACTGCGCCTATATAAATATCTTAAATTCGACCCGTTTTGACTCGAGGTAAGAGTTGAAGGCTCCCGAGTCCCATGAGCGCTACGTATCCCGCGTAGGTGCAGGTATCAGTTCTCGAAAATATTTCAAGATCACAAAATCGGCTCTCCTCCTTCTTATGAAGCCAAATTTCATATGTTTTTCCGTATATTTTTGTACGTTGTATGTTTGCGCGAGGGACAGCGGCCGGCCGACTGGCTAGTGGTGCTTGATGCGGGATCGATCCACGCCGGCCCCAACAGACACCGGCAATCAATCAATAATGAGTCTTCCCGGCCTGGCTATCCTCGAGATTGCACAGAGATGTGCTCAGCCAGTATTCTGCGACCTATGTGATGATAAAATCTTTGCGTAAACGTGAGGAAGTGTCGTACTGGAAGTACTGGGACCCGGGCAATAGGGGAAAATCTGTGATATGAGCCAAATAATTATGATAGACTCAACGATGTTGAGTGATGTGCAAAACTTTGACGTCAGGCGGGACTCGAACCCTCACTTCACCCTTTCCGCGAGCTCGCGCTGTATCACTTGCGCTACCGGCGCCTGTTCTGTCACCACTCTTTTCGCGATACGACACATCAGTTTGTCAGCAACGAACCTCCAACGTTTTGAGCCTAGTAGTCGATATCGACATTGAAACCCAGTTACGCTGACAGATAGCAAAGATAGCAAATGTATGCGCTCGGCAAGAATTCTTTTTATTCGGCCGGTGGAGTTCCTCGAGACCCACACTAGGCGTGTTCCGCCAGCGTGGGAACGATTCACGCTTGCCGATTGGCGCCCGTCGGACTACTTTCGCTGCAAGACCTGCGTGCGAATCAGGGCAAAACTGAAGTTTTGGCGACTAATCGGGCAGTGGAGGTGGAGTCGTTCCCACGCTGGCGGAAACGCCCAGCTTGGGTCCGCGGAAGTCAACCGGCTAACCGCTTTACAACGGTGTTATGATGTTAGAGATACACTCATTGATTTCAGAAATGAAATTCGATATGCACACACCCCCAGAAGAGTGAAGTGAGGGTTCGAGTCCCGCCTCACGTCAAAGTTTTGCACATCACTCAACGTCATTGGGTATATCTGTAACATCATACTACCGCTGAAGCGGTTCGCCCTTTCGGGATCGTGGGCCTACCTCCTCTGCATCTCTAGCCCCTTCTGTGACAACTCTGGACAGTCTGAATCACTTACCCTGCATCTCTAACCCCAGTCATAGTAGAACATCGAATGTATTGTTGTAATATTTTGGTTGTACTCATGCACTCAGGATGTTCCCAGGCTGGGATCAGAGATGTCGAGGAGGTGGAGCAGACCGTTCAGCGTTGCCACGCTGTTGGTTACAGATGCAGAGGAGGCAAGCCCTTTGGTTCCGCAAGAGTTAAATGAAGATTTCTTGCCGACCACATAAAATGACAAGAATCAGAATTATTGCAGTCTCTATATTCATGATATTTTTGTGTCACATATGTGCATAATATTTTACGTTTCGCTGTTTCCAAGCGGCTAACTTCCGTGGACCCACGTTGGGCACGTCCGCCAGCGTGGGAGCGACTCTACCTCCTCTGCTTCGATTAGTCACCGATTACAGTATTGCCTTTCGTTGCAAGACCTGAAGATTGATTCGGACTGGCGGACACGTCCAGCGTGGGTTCGCGGAAGTCAGCCGGTTAATACCCAATTTTTTTGAGTATAGGTGCTTTTATGGCATTTCAAAGTACGAGTTCAGTATCGTTCACACAGCCGTTTTCTGCTGGTATCAAGCCGCAGTATGTTCGGGTGAGTTCAGAGACGTTTTAGTTCAGTTATTTTTTAGCCCTTCATAGTTCTAGCTTCTTAGTGCTGCATGTATAAATCAATGAAACAGAGGACGAGAGCTGTGGCCGAGTGGCTAGCGATGCTGCGCGGCGTGGGGCCGATCCTCCACTTCTCATCACTCTCCTGAGCTCAACAAAAAACGCTTCGGCCTGGCTATCCTCGAGATTGTATGATGTGCTTGACAAGTCTTCTACGATATTCATAAAAGGCGAATCGGCTCTTGCCCATTCTAAGGTGGCGAATGAATCTTCGACCCCATTCATTGGACAGGAACTTTTCATAGGAGTGTTAGTAATCATTCGAAAGCTCAAATCTCTGGCTAGAAACATATGGGGCCGGTTCATTGAAAAGATCTTTTCGTCACGCTTTAAAATTAAAAATGAAATCATGTTTAACATCGGCTGCGGAATCCACTGACACTTCGCAGGAAGCACGAAAAGCTCATGAACGTGTAGAGAATCTGTTGCGTTATCAGAGTCACACATTCAATCTAGAGTTTATTTTGAAGCGGTGAAGCATTCCCTACATGAATAGCGAACCTCGCACTTTCATAGGAGAAAGTCGATCGATGGTTGCGTCGGCCTCCCTTGTCGCCCCACCCCGCGACCCGTGAATTTGCCAAAGAACACATGATCACGTATGTGAATCAATCTTATTTCCCCTGCTTCACTATAGAGAATGGTTTTTTTCCAGAAAATTCGCACAACATTGGAATCCTTGAATCCTACGCTATCGATTGATTACCAGTAGTCTGAAGAAAGAGCTCCGTCTTACGAGAAAAATGCGTGTGTAAAACATAAGAGTTTTTATCCTGTAATAGCGTCGAAAAAAGGCTTTCTCGAATACGGGCCACTTAGGAATGTAGCCAGAGGTTTAAGCTTTCGAATGGTCACTAACACTCCGTCGAAAAGTTCCTGTCCCCCGAATGAGATTGGCTTTTCATTTGTCACTTTATAAAAAGCCAGTACCGAGAGATCTCTTATTCAAACTATGAACGCGAGAATACGAATCGAATCACTGGAGTACTGGGGACCGCGCAGTGGAAAAATAATGGTGATATGGATCAGACGAAGTGATCTCTAGTATTTTGATAAGCAGTAGTCTTTCAGATAGTTGGAGACTCTGTTGGAGTTGTTAACCTTACACCGGCCGCCCTTCAGTGTCTTGCAGATAAGGTTTTTTCTAAGTTTCTCTTTTCTTTTTTCTTCCGAGCTAGTCTCTTTGTTTCTTTAGTATTGTGGATTCTTCACCGCTGCTTATTGTCTTACATCCTATAGCAATTTATTTCTGTATTTTCTCTCCCAAAAAAGGAGGTAAACATTCTTTTTTTATTTCTGTTTCTTTGAAGCTGACAGAACTGATGAGTCGTTGCGCAAGGACAGCGAACAAATTCGCTCGCCATAGTCGACGAAGAAAAGTACTGGTTGATGATGTGGAAGCCGCCCTTCATCTACTAAACATCCCGGTAATTTGAACGGTTTCATTTGTTTTCCTGTTTAGCGGAACTACATTTGCCGGCTATAATCCTTTTCCAGATGCCCATAGGATCTCTGACTCGATCGCTGCCAACTATGCGACAACTACGTATGCCAGGCATAGAGCAACTTTATTTTAGGGAGGATGTTGATGTCGATGTACCACCGCTCATGCAGCCCCCGCCAATGAGAGTTCCTATCAAGCGCCATTTTCGTGGTAGGAAAGTTTTCCTAACTTCGATTTTACTTCAACTTCACAGCTCTCCTTCTTACTGTCAGAGTCCTTTCTCTTTCACATAGAACTATACCCATTCGCTTTGACGGCCGTTCTCGGCTGTCGGGCGATTCGAACGGCTATGAAGAGCCTCTTCGGTGATATCATGTGATAAATTCGATTGTCACTGAAGCTCTTTAGTTTCTTTTTCATTGACTTGTCTCATTATTAACTTCGCACTACTGTTTTATGCACTTTTTTTCTCAATATGGAAGTAGGTTTTTATCAAGGGGCTGTGATATGTTAAAGAGTGTTAGTAGCTCTACCTGGAAAGGTATAAAAGAAAGCATGCGCTGCGGGTTAATTTACTGAGAATCGAGGGAATAGCGCCACTTACGCTCGATTATCACCTGTGTCACCTGTCGTCCCGTTGATCGTCGACTGACTCGAGCGGGCACCATCGCCACGCCCCATTTTTTCCAAAAGCGTACAAGAGTAGCCAGTGGGTTCTGCTCGCTCTGGGATTCGTTGAGCATCATATCTTTCTTCTAGGCTTTTCGTGAAGAAATGGGATCATCGGGTCGGTGACCATCCTGTAGGCGCTTGATATTCCGAGGAATCCAGTCTCTAGGTATATTCGTCAAACCATAGTCATATTCGTAGGGTGTAATCGAACGTATTCTGGAGCTAATACGCTCTCATACCATACGAATCTGAAATAGAGTCCACTACATGGAGGACGGCCGTGAAGACTAACACTGAGTTAAGGCCAGGCACTACTACCATCGAGTTGTGAGCCACTGGTTGGAGCACTTCGACGAAGGCGATATGAGCTTTCAAAGTCAACATCATCCCGGGCCATCCACTTTTGATGAAAAAACCGTGCGCCACGAACTGGAAGTGAATTTGAATGCCAGTACCAGAGAGCTGAAGCATGATATGGCCGTAGCATATCCGAATAAAATGGTCTACCGTAAGTGTCTCAATGAATACCTTAAGTATGGCCGACCATGACCGCGCTACACGCGTGGCCATGTGCGAAAGTCTTCTGCTGCGACCGCATGGACAGGTCTCGGGTCGATCGTTACTGGGGGTGAGTCCTTGGTCTGCTATGAGAACGACACCCCGCCAAGCCTACTGGCTGGTTCACCGCAAAGAAACGCCAGCTCAACCTAGGCCCAAGTTCCATGCTCGGAAGACTATGCTCGTGGCTCTGATGGATTTTTTGAGACTGGCCAGGCATGCTGTTGTGAAGGTGCTTGAGGACAAGCAGAAAATCAGTGTCTACGTCTACAGGGAGCACCTCCGGAAGTCTACCGCGGCAGCTTGGTATAGGCGTCCGAAATGGCTCAGTGTCGGATTTCTCCACGATAATGTTCGAGCCTACATTGCAAATTGATAAGCCACATTTCAAAGAAATCGGCCTAGACAACGGTATCACATCCGCCGTATAGCTCTGATATTGCTTCACCGGATTATCATCTCTTCCGCCCTCTCAAGCGGAATTTGCGGAAGAAAAATTCACTGACTACTAGCTCAAAAGTGACCACCTACTACGTTGATCGCCAGCCTCGTTCTTACTGGGAGAAAGGCATTCAATCCTTGTTTAACCAATGGTTGTATATCATTGGTCATGATGGTGATTGTAGTTGTCATCTGATAGATTTCTCTGGGAAAAAAAATCAAGTTAGCAAAAATGTTGAATTGCAAAATTAATGAAGAACAACCCAATATTTTACTTTAGTCTACGGCCGGTATCCAGATTTTGTTTTGCGCTTTCCAGTACTCTTGGCATTCAGTTCGTCGCTCGCATTCGTTACTTGCGTGAAAATATCGTCTTGTTAATGAACGTCCGAGAACACTGCTCGGGCAGAGAGGATCAAGCTTGCATCGGGAACCACTACCCGCTCGGCCACTGCCTCGCAAAGTCCCTACTTTGACCATATTTTGATTGGAGATTACTCCAGTCTTCGTGTCTGTACATGCTGGAGCTTAAGGATGAGACTTTCACTGCTGCTTCACTATTTTGGACTGCTTCACTATTT